TTAGATCCTAAATGGTGGTTTAATTCGATATATAAGCAGGTTGGAGACAATTGTGAACAGTTTTAGAAGCCGACTCATCAATCTTCTATATTCCATATAGCCATATAGAACTCATGAAAAAAGTAGAAGGGTTGTGCCTAGGGGCACGAACGGAAGCTTGACGTAGGACCGCTAGTGGACGGAACAAATGTGAACATTTAGTTCTTTTAATTGATCAATCATCAATTGTCTTAACTCTTTCCGTTTTTTTATTTGTAAGCGTATCAAATTTGTAGTATTTATTTCAAAGAGAAATTTGATGAAGAGAATCCAAGGGACTGTCAACTTGAGTATTTTCGATTCATCTACCCGACTTTAAAAGGTGTATTTTGAATTTTTTGTTATTTATGAATTTTTAAGTTTTGTGCATTTTGGTATTACAGTGTATTCAATACACCCCTCACAGGATTTCCTTCCGAATTATATGAATGGGGTGGGGCGGAAAGTATCGTTTGTGCAGAATATGTAAAAACGGAGGGACTTCGAGAGATTGAACTCGTGAGAGCTAATTTTCTCACACATTTGATTTTATTGGCTTTCTGGGGACTGAATATACACCCAAAGCGAATTATTCCCACTGCTCTCAAATTCTATATGGATTTTTAACACTTCATACCAGCGTGTTCTGGAAAATGGTTGGACGATAATTAATCTCACCAATACATTCGGGCCTACAATTCCACACCTTCTATAGATACCAGGTTGAGCCTTGATAGCTAGCTGCTTGCGGGAACTGATGACCTTGACTAATGTCCAAATAATACTCTTAACACATTTATGGTGGTCCTGAAAAGGACCATTTTGTAGTGATGGTTGAGTAATGCTGAGCTGAGTACGACGAGCTACTGATTCCGATCCTAGCCTAGCGGTGGGACTTCTTCCTCCTTCTCTATGGTTGCTCAAATGAGCTCTACAGCTCGTTGTTGTTGTTGTTGTTGAAAGCACTCCAGCTGCTGCTACTACTGCTGCTGCTGGACCGGACACCACCACTTACAGTGAATGAATGAGCACCGTTCAGTGGGACCACATCGAATTCGATTTTTAAGTCTGTGTTAGGGAATGCTGTTTTCAGACATTCGGTGATAATTTTGATCACCATTGCAACAGTTGGACATTTGGTATTTTTCAAAAGTGACCTATTGAAAATTAACTAAGTGTTCATTTTAGCAGATTGATAGATAAATTTCCAATCGTTTGACTTGTTTAGAATTAAAATCTATCTGCTATTGGTTGAAACCTGACCTCTTTCCGTAATGCTGTGCATTTTGATTTTTTGAAATTGCGTGGATTCTATAGATCCTGTGGAGATCTATCTAGCCCTTATGTATGTGTTAATAGAGAGAAAAATGTAAACTTTGCGGGAGACGATGTCTTAACACTCGAAAGCAGTTTTGTGAAAGTAAAACTAATCCTAGCTAGTTCTGCATGCTGATTTTATTTGATTTTATTTATTTGTAAAGTCGCCCGGAAATACCAGCTGGCTATTTGTTTTTTATGATAACTCCTTACTTGAAAACAGATAAAAACTCACAAACAGGCTGCTTTTTCATGGTATACAGTGTGATAATTCAATAATTAATAAATTATCTCAACATTTAGTGGCAAACCATTCATAAAATTTGGTAACATACAAAAAATTCTATAATCCACATTAAATTTCATATGTAAGCGCCGATTGAAACAATCTTTTCAACGTCACTGCAAGGGTGATTGATTAAACGAAAGAAACGAATCGTGCGGAATGAAAGCCGAGGAAAAACTAATTGCGCGAATATATCCAGGCCTACAATTCCACACCTTCTATAGACAGGTTAAGCCTTGATAGCTAGCTGCTTGCGGGAACTGATAACCTTGACCAATGTCCAAATAATACTCGTTAACAAATTTTTGGTGGCCCTGAAAAGGACCGTTTTGTAGTGATGGTTGAGTAATTCTGAGCTGGGTGTTCAACACGGATGAGGCTGTCGAGCTGTATGTCGTTTGGATCGAGGATGACACGCTTGGCATAGATGACCGACCCGCAGCACCTCACGAAGAGCTACTGATTCCGATCCATACCATAGCGGTGCAGCTTCTTCCTCCTTTGATGGTTGCTTATTTGGGCTCTGCAGCTCGCTGCTTGTAGGCAGCCTTTCGTTGTTACAGGAGAACAATTTTCAACGCCACACGCCGAAAGCACTGCTACTGCTGCTACTGCTGCTACTGTTGCTACTAATTTCGACGACCGAACACCACCACACAGTGGTGTGGTCGTTGGAAGCGTGTGGTTCTGAGTATGGCGATGAGTGTGCAAAATATTACGCAATTCCATCCTCCCTATTCGCACGCGCCCGAGGATCGGAGGCGAATGCCACTTCGAGTTGTTTCGTCTACTTACTACTCTCTGACGACTGTGCTGGGGAAGCAGCATATGCATGTAGGTAATTGTTGGATTTGTTAGTTAATTCGACGCTTTTGGACAATGCTGGACATTTACCAGTTTTTCAATAGTTTATTGTTGAAAATCAACATTCTGAAGCAATGTTATCGATGCGTAGCCATATTTCTGATTGTTACATGTTCCATTTTCGGTTTTCACAAAGTGTACCCCCATATAGAAATCAAAGACGTAGTCCTACGTCAAAAATTCTCAGTCCCAGAAAGCCGACTTTTGAAAAAAAAAATGTTTTTCGAGATAACACCAAATCTCGACGTTTCATGCATTTTTAAGACATTTGGCATAAAAAAAAAATTTTGATTTCCCCCCCTCTTGGGAGATTTTCGAGAGTGAACGCGTTTGCGCCACCCCTAAATCATGTCCGATTGATATTTGACATTTTGTATATGGTTTGTTAGCGAAATCATTTGATGTTCAAATTTTTCCCATACATTCATTCATTGGCAGTCTAGTAACTAGTCCGTAGAAACTGCGACATTGGCTGTGACTAATACCACGATCTGTTCGTTCAGGACCATTTTTGATTGTCGTTTACAGATAACCCTCACGATTGACATGTTTTGGCCAAGCCAGTCAAGGCTGTCTTGGTCTAACCGTCAAGTACCTTCTACTCTCAGGCCTAGAACCCGCAGAGTGAGAGTTTCCTCGGACAAAATCCTAATCATTAAGGAGGAATTACCCTTCTCGGGGTGTGGCCAATACGGTCTCGTCCGTAGTCCACCGATCTCGTCAATAAAGGAGGATGCCGTTGACCCAGGAAAGGATTACTTCGACAGCGGCACAGGTAACCTAAGCCTAAGACAATCGAACCTACAGAACCACCATCGCGGTCAACCAAAAACCCCGTTCACCATGCAACCACCAACTGTGAGCGCTCGCCGTCGTGCAACAGCATCACCCTCGGTACGTACCAAAGCAGTATAAACCAATCCATACACCCCGGAATAACCCACTAAACTTTGAATACACCCAATAGTTCAGTTCCTTCATAGTTCCATATTGAGTCAATTCCACAGTTTTTGCACACTTTGTTCCGCGTGCCCATCCGAATTACCCAGTAGCATGCCTAATCCGTGACTCAGTTCAGGGGTCTCGTGCAGCTGAACTAATTATCCGGGAGTCTTGGTTGAGCCAGAGCAAGTCTCTTCAAGTCTCATACTACTGAGCCCTCACTTACCCAAGTGGTACATCGGACTTGAATATTTAACATTTTAACAGGTGTCATGATTTATTTGCAATAATTTTATCATTTACTCACGCAATACATTTTTAACTATTCAAGTAAACGTCGTTGCATGTCCCATTAGTGCTTGTTTATAACCAATTACCAGCAGTAATCGCCCCTTATTACTATTCAATACCGTTTTTCACTCTCCCACCACAACCTAAACGATATTTCTAGCCTTCAACCGAATCGTTACACATTGTATATAAACACTTGCAGGATCAATCCAATCATTTGGTTTTCTATCATTACCTGCAACCTAAGGGGTTAATAGTCATAAATCAACTAAACAAAAAGAAAAAAAAAAACATTTCACAGCGTTTGTACTTCTAATCGATCGTTCTGCAATTTAATCGCGGAGCACGAGGAGCACTCGCCGACAAAAGCACTACTGGAACATAGCAAACAAACCAACCAACGCAACGGTATGGGATTCTTTGATGTCGAGGACATTACCGCTGTAATGCCCTTTACCCTGCAAATGCTGAAGGTATTTGGCCTACGAGGTTCCCGCTGGGATTTCATGCGGTTCCAGTTTGCCGTCTTTTGGATGTGCCTTATAACGATGATTCCGAAGGTGTTTCTCGGCTATCGGGACGATATCCGCTATGTTATCCGCGGAATGTCGGAGTTTATATTCCAGGCGAACGCTTGTATCAAGATGGTGATCTTGGCGGGAAAGCGGGATGAGTTTGAGAGCATGCTGACCATATGGAAAAAGTGGTTTCGGAGAAGTAAGTATCAAGATCCACCAATTAGTATCCGACATTCACTTTCATTTCTTATCGCCACGTACTAGCTTTTGAAGCTGATGGGATTTCCAAACAGAGTTTGGCTCTCGCCCGTTGCAACAGGATAAACGATTTGTTCACCAAAGGATACTTCACGTACTGTTCTATTGTTGTACACTTCTACATCGTTAGTCCGTTGATTCAATCGACAATAATTTATGTCAAGTACAACCAGAACAACAACACCGAACCAATTGAGCTAATCACCCAGATGGAACAGGAGTAAGTACAAGTTTTAGAAATTCATGTCATCGTAAGCTAAATTTTCTGATCTTTCAGGTTCTATTGGCTTGATATTCGAACCAACCTGGTTCATTATGCATTCTATACGATATGCGCTATTCCTTCATACTGGTTTGCTGCCTACATGTTGATTGTGGACATTTCTCTCATCTTTTGTTGCTGTAAGTGTTGTTCCCACTTGTTAGAAGCGGTATCGATAAGATTGAGTAATTTGACAGCGTTCAAAAGTGATAAGCAAAAGGAAGAACTTAGGGACATCATAGAAATGCACGACGATGTGTTGAGATGCGTTGAACTTTTGAATGAAACTCGTAATTTTCCGCTATTGGTTCAAATTGTCAACTGTGTACTGATGTGGTGTATGATGGCCGTATATCTGACCATGGTAAGGGCCATAGCTTTGATGCTAATGACAGTATGAATATGATCTGGTTTACTTACAGAATTTCAACGGTGACGCGGTAAATATCTTGGTTTTGTTCATTGTGCTGACTATTGAAACGTACGGAGTATGTGTCCTGGGTTCAGAATTATCCCAAAAGGTAGGTGGAAAACTACAGGTTAGGGTGGTTCAAATTATCCATTTTGCTCGAAACATCTCAAGTGGTTCAAGGGGTGGATAATATAAATCACCCTACTGCAGGTGTTTGGGCTGCATAATTCATATTTACTGTTTGCTGCCACAGAACGTCGACCTTCAACGAGCCATCTATGATTTCCCGTGGTACAATGTTCCGGTAGATATGCAGAAGAGCTTACTGCAGATGCTGCAAAGAGCGCAGCAACCTGTCGGTATAACTGCGGCTGGATTTTGCTACGTAGATATTGAACGGTTCGGGAAGATTGTTCAAACATCCTATCAAATTTTCGTCGTCATGAAAGATACATTGTAGAATTCGAGTTCTCAGAGTGATCAAATGAATCCCGTAAAATGTACTGGAGCGGAAGAAAAAGTTTTGGATATTGAGCATAGTCAAAGTTTAAGTAGGAAAATTAATTAATAATATACTCATTAACCAACATGTTAATACAGAACACTTTCTGACATTAAATTTATGCTTCAGAACTACGGGAGCAAAATGTTTATTCAATGTGCTTTTTATTGTTTGGTTTATATTTATTCGCTGCATTCTGGAGTTATTTAAAGCTGTGATAAAATTGGATGATATGCCAGTCACAGTTATCTGTATCATTTAAACGAAGGTGTAAGCTATTTCCAGCCCTTGATCTCCATTGCTGTAATGGAAGTGCTCTATCCCCCGTTGGAGATTCTGCCATACAATGAAACCACTGGAAACGGATTCCGTTCTGATGGAGAAGGCTTACTGGATAGCGGAAGATAAAGTGTTTATTCAGGGTGTCTACTCAATCCAAGGAATCAAATTCCCTGAGTTTTCCAGGTTTTTCCAGGTTTTTCCAGGTCGGATGAAAAAAATTCCAGGTGCATACAAATTATACACATTATTATTTTATCTATTTATCCATCTGGAATCCCTTTTATGTACTTATTGATTTATGTTATTTTCGATTGTTCAAACTTGGGCGTTGGTACTTATAAGTCGGCACAGCAAAAAAGTTATGAATATTACAGCAGAACAGATGCAAATAGGTTGTTTAATATTAAAGGGTGATACGGTCAAAATTTGGTCAAGGGAAAACGCGTGTAAATCAGTGAAATCGTTTATTTAAAAAATCAAATTAAATTTCTTTTTCAAGTTCAATTAGTATAAAATTCAGGAAAAATATTCAGTTAGGCTTCCGCTTTTCCAAATCCGAATTGCCGGGCCTTACGCTTGACCCCTGCCATCAGATTTTGTACAGCCACCTTGTCCACCTTCTTCGCCGCAGAAAGCCAGTTTGCCTTGAACTGCTGCTCGCCCTTAGCAGTTTTTTTGGTCTTCTTTAGGTTCCGCTTGACAATAGCCCAGTATTTCTCAATTGGGCGGAGCTCTGGCGTGTTGGGAGGGTTCTTGTCCTTGGGAACCACCTGCACGTTGTTGGCGGCGTACCACTCCATGGCCTTTTTACCGTAATGGCAAGATGCCAAATCCGGCCAAAACAGTACGGAACAACCGTGTTTCTTTAGGAAAGGCAGCAGACGTTTATTCAAACACTCTTTCACGTAAATTTTTTGGTTGACAGTCCCGGAAGCTATGAAAATGCTGCTTTTCAAGCCACAGGTACAGATGGCTTGGCAAACCAGATATTTCTTTGCGAACTTTGACAGTTTCATGTGCTTGAAAACATCTGCTACCTTTCTCCTTCCTTTTGCCGTATAAAACTCCTGTCCCGGAAGCTGCTTGTAGTCGGCTTTGACGTAGGTTTCGTCGTCCATTACCACGCAGTCAAGCTTCGTCAGCATCGTCGTGTACAGCCTCCGGGATCGCGCTTTGGCCGTCGTATTTTGTTTATCATCGCGATTTGGAGTCACTACCTTCTTGTAAGTCGATAGTCCGGCTCGTTTTTTGGCTCGATGCACGGTTGTAGACGATACACCCAGCTTATTTGCGGCATCTCGGAGAGAGAGGTTAGGGTTTCGCTTGAAACTACCGGCAACTCTCTTTGTCGTCTCAGCGGCTTCCGGTTTTCGATTTCCCCCCGATCCAGACTTCCTGGCTGTCGACAAACGTTCCCCAAACACTTTAATTACATTTGTAACGGTTGATTTGGCAACTTTTAGCGATTTTGCCAACTTTGCGTGCGAGTAGCTCGGATTTTCACGATGCGCGAGCAAAATTTTGATACGCTGCTCTTCTTGCTTGGACGGCATTTTGACAACTGAAGAGTGAATTCCAAAATCAAAATAGGAGCAACATTCTACACACACACACCTTCAAAATGAGGGGTGTTCAGGTTTTTTAAATGCAAAATTGAAAGAAATACGTCAAGTTGATATTGACCAAATTTTGACCGTATCACCCTTTAATTTGTACAACCAATAGTGGAGGTTAGTACAATGTACTTCTATAGCGGCTTAGGGAGACTCTATAAGCCACCATAGTAACATATTACACTTAAGTACCTCCACTATTGGTGCATTTATCCTACACATAATTTGCGAAAATAAATTATATCCATGGGTGTAATACTGTATTTGGTTTTTGCAATCACATTAGTTATTCATACAGTAACATGCATTACGTCAATCAATATTACATTCTTTTTTGGTATTTGTGTTAATTCAAGAATATGAATACAAGTAAGAAACCTGTCTATACTATTTCGATAAAACGATGTATCAAAATTTGATAACAATATGTTTTCAAAAACAAAATATTATTTTGAGTCCAACTCTGTTTGGAAGACCAAGACAGAATAAATCATGGTTTCACATGTCTAAAATCTCTTAAGGTCCGTTGAGACTATCTGATTTCTTGGTCTGATTTTGACCACCGCCATAATGAAAAATCTGCTCGAATTTACTTTCGACACACCTCCTGTTTGCTGGTGTTCACACTGCCTGCACATGTCGAAAGAACTGTCAATTTAGATTTCAAAACAAAACTGTATCAGGAATCAAAAGTAAATACTTCCATCATGAATTACCGGAAAATTGCTCTAGTTTCGGCAGACGTATTTGCTTTTATTATTTTAAATAAAATGAGAAAAAGAAGGTGAACTTTGTGGACTAGGAAATGGTTGCTCAGGAGGAACACCGGCAGGGATCTGGCTCATCTTGTCCATCAAGAGCTGCGATATGAAGATGAAAATGGATTTCAAAACTTCGCCAGGATGTCAATACCAACTTAAGACAAGCTAGTGGGAAAAGTTCTCACTAGAAATACATGATTCCTTGAGTTCTGAAAATTTCTGTTAACAACTCAATTCTGCAAGGTCTTCAAACCTTCTGACGTCCCTGAAGTTTTGTTTCTGTTCTCCGGTAAAATTTCTTTAAAGATTAATCTTTCCTGACAATCTGCAAATGTCTAGGTAGTTCTACAGATTTCTTTGAAGTTCTGTGTGTTCTTCTGAAGTTCTGCAAATTTTCCTAAAAATCTACAAAGTTCCTGAATCCCTGAAGATTTAAGATCCTTAAAGATCAACAATTATCTCTGATGTTCACAAAATTTCTAATAATCTAAAAACTTCTCAAAAGGTCTGTAATTTTCTCTGCAGATTTTCATGATTTAATGAATATCTCCAAATATCTCTGAACAATTTTCTAAAGAATTAAAAGATTATCTAGAAATGTTTGAGCTTTCCGGAAGTTTTAGGAAGTATTCTGAAGTTTTTCTAATTTTTCTGAAGCTGTGCAAATATTTCTAAAGATCAGTGAACTTAACTGAAGTTCCGTAAATGTCTTTTAAAATCCAAGAACCGCAGTAAAATTCTGAAAATTTATTTAAACATCTGCTAATTTTTTAGTAGATTTACGATCTACCCTCTGAACTTTTCTGAAGTTCCTAAAATTTATTTCAAATTCTGTAAAGTTTTCTGAAGTACTGTATTTCTGCTTTAAAGATCTACGAACTGCCCTGAAGTTCAATAAATTTCACAGTAAATCTCCGAACTTTTATAAAGTTCTTTAAATTTCTTTGTGGATTATTTATCTAAAGATCGGCGAACTTTCCCGAAGATCTGTGAGTTTTGCTGAAGTTTTGCAAATTTTTCTAAAAATGTACGAACTTTCTGACGTTCTACGGACTTCTCTTAAGGTCTACGGACTTCTCTGAAGTTCTTTAGATCTATCTATTTCCGACTTCCATGGAGTTCTGCAAAATATTGTACTTTTGTACTTCGCTGCGATTTGTTTTTGGAATTGAGGTGCTTTTCTGACATTTAACGAATTTTTCTGAAGATCTCACATTTGTGTGAAACTGTGAAACTATCTGTCAAATTCCTGAAAATATCTTTAAAGTTCTGTAAAGTTGTCTTAAGCTTCGTAGCTCTATTCCCAAGATCTACAAAAAAAAAAAAAACTTGAGGCGCAATAAATTTCTCAGTAGATCTGCAAACTTCTCTGATGTTTTGTAAATTCCTCTCGGGTTACCCTGAAGATTTGAAAATTGAAGATTACCTAAAGTTGTCAAAATTTATCTGAAAATATTTGAGCTTCTTAGAAGTTTTAAATGTCTCTCTCAAGATCTACAAATTTGCCTGAAATCGTGTAAATATTTTTTTTTAATTCGCCGAGCTTCCCTGAAATTCTGCAATTTTTACTGAAGATCCATTAACATTTCGGAGATTCTTGTGATTTTTTCAGAAGTCCTGTAATTTTTTTCAAAGTTCTGTAGCTTTGTTCTGAAGATCTACGAACTTTTCTGATGTTGAATAATGTTTCGAAGATCTCCAAACTTCTGTGAAATACTTTATATTTCACAGTAGATTCTTGAACTTGTCTGAAGTTATGCGAATTTCCCTGAAGATTTGCAAAATTTCGCTTATAGTAATTATTTTTGCATGCTTGAAGTTTTGAAAATTTCTTTGAACATTTATCTGAAGATCTTTGACTTCTCTTGTGATTTTGTTTTTATGAATTTCTGTTAATTACTATTAATTTGTTTGTAGTTCTGTTCTCAAGATCTACCAACTGCCCTGAAGCTCAACAAATTTCTCAGTAGATCTCCGACCCTCTCTGAAGCTCAAAAAAACTCTATGTAGGCCTGCTGTCTGGCATGCTTATTCTTATACAATACATGCTTCGTATGCTTCCTTTTGACGGTTGCCAGTCTCTTTTTTTCGGCTGTTTACTTTTTACGACGATTTTGATCATCTACATACATATCAGCGAAGAGCGAGCGTGACAAGACTCTCTGAATGAACTTGTCTCGTTTAAACACGTTGTCTTAGCTGTCAGATGCTTGTCAAGTTCAGTGTCCTTAAGAAACGTTTCGAGAAACTAAACGAAAAACTTCTTTTGAATTACGAATGAAGTGATAATTGGAAAATTCCCTGAGTGGAACCAAAATTCCCTGAATATTCCAGGTTTTCCGAGAAAAAATAAAATTCCCTGTAAATTCCCGGTTTTCCAGGTTTTTCCAGGTAGTAGACACCCTGTTATTGTGTGGAACCTTTTGATTATAGCTTCAAGACGTTTTGTAAAGTGAACAAGGATCCTCGGCTCAGTAAAGTTAATTCAATTGAGCCTTATGAAATAAATTAATAATTGAAAAAAAAGAAGAAGGGTCTGTGCCTAGGGGCACGAACGGAAGCTTGAAGTAGGACCGCTAGTGGACGGAACAAATGTGAACATTTAGTTCTTTTAATTTATCATTCATCAATCTTAACTCTTTCCGTTTTTTATTTGTTAGCGTATCAAATTTGTAGTATTTATTTCAAAGAGAAAAATGATTAAGAGCATCCAAGGGACTTTCAACTTGAGTATTTTCGATTCATCTACCCGACTTTAAAAGGTGTATTTTAATTTTTTTGTTATTTAAGAATTTTTAAATTTTGTGCATTTTGGTATTAAAGTGTATTCAATACACCCCTCACAGGATTTCCTTTCAAATTATATGAATGGGGCGGGGCGGAAAGTATCGTTTGTGCAGAATATGTAAAAACGTAGGGACTTTGAGAGATTGAACTCGTGACAGTGAGAGCTAATTTTCTCACAAATTTGATTTTATTGGCTTTCTGGGGACTGAATATACACCCAAAGCGAATTATTCCCACTTCGCTCAAATTCTATATGGATTTTTAACACTTCCTACCAGCGTGTTCTGGAAAATGGTCGGACGATGATTAATCTCACCAATACATTCGGGCCTACAATTCCACACCTTCTATAGAGACCAGGTTGAGCTTTGATAGCTAGCTGCTTGCGGGAACTGATGACCTTGACTAATGTCCAAATAATATTCTTAAGTTATGGTGGCACTGAAAAGGACCGTTTTGTAGTGATGGTTGAGTAATGCTGAGCTGAGCACGACGAGCTACTGATTCCGATCCCAGCTTGCGGTGGGACTTCTTCCTCCTTCTCTATGGTTGCTCGTATGAGCTCTGCAGCTTGCTGCTTGCAGGCAGCCCTGCTGCTGCTGTTGCTGATACTACTACTACTGCTGCTGGACTGAACATCACCACTTATGGTGATTGAATGAGCACCGTTCAGTGGGACCGCATCGAATTTGATTTTTAAGTCTCTGTTAGGGAATGCGCTGTTTTCAAATATTTGGTGATAATTTTGACCACCATTGCAACAGTTGGACATTTGGTTTTTTTCAATAGTGACCTATTGAAAATTAACTAAGTGTTCATTTTAGCAGATTGATACTTAAATTTCCAATCGTTTGGCTAGTTTAGAATTAAAATCTATCTGCTATTGGTCGAAACCTGACCTCTTTTCGTAATGCTGTGCATTTTGGTTTTTTTTTTGGCGCCGATTGAAACAATCTTTTCGACGTCACTACAAGGGTGATTGATTAAACGAAAGAAACGAATCGTGCGGAATAAAAGCCGAGGAAAACCACCAATATATTCAGGTCTACAATTCCACATCTTCTATAGACAGGTTGCGCCTTGATAGCTAGCTGCTTGCGGGAACTGATGCCCTTGACCAATGTCCAAATAATACTCTTCAACAAATTTTTGGTCACCTTGAAAAGGACCGTTTTGTAGTGATGGTTGAGTAATTCTGAGCTGGGTGTTCAACACGGATGCGGCTGTCGAGCTGTATGTCGTTTGGAGCGAGGGTGACACGCTTGGCATAGATGACCGACCCGCAGCGACTCACGAAGAGCTACTGATTCCGATCCATAGCATAGCGGTGCAGCTTCTTCCTCCTTTGATGGATGCTTATGTGGGCACTGCAGCTCGCTGCTTGCAGGTAGCCTTTCGTTGTTACTGGAGAACAATTTTCAACGCCACACGCCGAAAGCACTGCTACTGCTGCTACTGCTGCTACTAATTTCGTCGGTCGTGGTGTGGTCATTGGGAGCGTGTGGTACTGAGTATGGCGATGAGTGTGCAAAATATTACGCACTTCCATCCTCCCTATTCGCACGCACCCGAGGATCGGAGGCGAATGCCACTTCGACTTGTTTCGTCTACTTACTACTCTCTGACGACTGTGCTGGGGAAGCAGCATATGCATGTAGGTAATTGTTGGATTTGTTAGTTAATTCGACGCTTTTGGACAATGCAGGACATTTACCAGTTTTTCAATAGTTTATCGTTGAAAATCAACATTCGGAAGCTTTGTTGTCGATGCGTAGCCATATTTCTGATCGATTGGTGATAAAATTATTGAAATTGGACCAGGGGCAGCTGAGTTATTAACGTTCAAAATCTTTCTTAATTTGTTGCATGTTCCATTTTCGGTTTTCACAAAGTGTACCCCCATATAGAAATCAATGACGTAGTCCTACGTCAAAAAAGTTCCATGTCAAACAGCAAAAAACACAAATAATTTGCAATGCCTTCGCTCCATGTTGTAAACATGAAATAAGCCAAAAATAAAATTAGCACAAAATAGATCTAATCCATACGCCAAAAACTATGCCAGTTGCGTGCTGATTTACTTTAAAATTGGAATGCCTCGCGAGTAACGCCACTCGACCTTTCGTAGTTTCTCCCAAGGCCGAGTCTAGGGAAACCTTCGGGAAAGTTGGGGAAAGAGAGAGTGTGGCTACACCCGCGGGAAAATTGCACTTCCGTTAAGTTCGATCGAGGTCACCGTCCCTAATCTGAGGATCACGGTTTCGCTTCACTTTCGTCCAAACCGCAGATTATAGTGGAAGTGTATCGTTTCGTTCGAGTTATTGTATAGTTTGTATAGTGAGATTAAACAACGTGGTTTTACTTTGTACTGAAATTCGAATTGATTTTTTAGTTATAGCAAATCATAAACTAAAGCAGTGTGCGGCATAGGCATGAGCATGAGCATGATTGACCGCCCACGGTTGCTACTCTGTTATTGCCAGACCAGCTGGAATTACACAGAGAACCTATAGACGATGCTTGGGACTAGCAATCATCCTCAATGTGTAAAAACTGGTGATCTCGAATTAGGCAATACCAGTGCCAGCCGCGCCTGAACGCAGGTCAAGAAAGGAATGGGTAGGAATGTGTTGACGTGACACTCGCTTTGATGGAAGCCGAGGAGTCCTTTGCACTTCCACGAGGAATCACAGGGATGTTGGGTAAGAGGGTTGGGTTAGCAGCATGGTTCGTTTTGGTAAACGATAAGCTGAATTGATGTCCTAACGATCATATAACGCGAAGGAGCTTGGGATTGAACCCACGGTCTTCTGCTCAGTAAGCAAAAACGTTTGCCACTAGGCAGACGAGCTCCTTTTTAATCATTGACGAATCTTGAATGTGGATGGGCTTGAGATTAGACTCATGATGTTCTGCTCAGTAAGCAAAACCGGTTGCTCTAAGGCCACCGAGCCTCTCATATCACATTATAGCGTTACTCAAGTTTTTATAACTATTCAAACCCGGCACCGACGACAATAAAAAGTTTTACAAAATACACGATAAACAAGCGATATTTTAATAATTTTAATATGAAAGGATCTGGGACCGCGTTTTTCCCCTCAGTAAGCAAGCCACTGCAACCGACGATCTTTGAAATCCTAAAACTAAAAGCTACGAAAGAGTACTTAGGCCTTCATTAAGATCCACTTTCACGCGACGTTCAATGTTTCGATTTTCTCTTTACGCATGGTTCAGACAATCATAACAAGCTATGACCGACGTGACGATTGTTGAAGATCTGGTTAAACAAGCTATTCAAATGAAATTACGTTCTCGAATTTCACTTGGAATGTAATGAACAACAGAAATACGCGATAATTCATATTTTCAGCAGTTGATGTTTAATTTTAAATATACTAACGGTACTGCCTACGACTACGACGGCGATTACGACAGCGACTACGACGGCGCCTACGACAACGACAACAGAGAATTTGTAACTTACCATTTGTCTAGGATAAACACCTTTGCCCGGCACCTCCACTGGTTCTTCATGTCCGCTATCTGTCACTGTTTGCAAAATATCTCATAGCAATTACCTTTGTTGTGATACTTCCTATATTGCCATGGTCATCTGGGAGGAGGTTCACATCTAGTGCTTTCCCCAGGAACCGTTCACGGCCACCAGCTACCGCCCGTCCAGTCTTGGGCATATCCAGCGAGACATCATTCAACTGACTAACAATCTCCGACATTCAATGCAAATCGCAGGCACACTTACGCTAGTTACAAAAAAAAAAACACCCGTGCAAAGAAACGGATCCAATAAACGTCACTCTTGCGAAAGCACACCCGTCGTCGTCGATCGACAAAAAAAGGAATCGGTGGGCAATTTTGTGATACGGATTTCCAAAATCAAACGGGAATGCACGAATTTCACCACACCCAACTGCGAAACACGTTCAAAAGCACTTATGGTACACTTTCGTTCGAAAACATTTAATTTTTTCAAAAATAGTTGCGAGTGAACCAACATCATCACCGCGTAAATAAACTAAAATCCAAATTATCACTCGCGATGCCACAAATTTCCGGACCGAGAGAAAAAATCAAACAACGCAGATAGCGTTAAATCTTCTATTGCTTGCAAACATGATGAATCATGTTTTCTTTCTCGATTCTTAAACTTCTCGGAAAGCGAGAAAACCACCACTCACACACGTATAACCGTCCGGGAGGCAGAGTGCCAGCGCTAATCCGGCAAATGCAGCCGAAAACTATGAAAGCGAATGCACGCACAAAACAGAGAACACACTTAATACACAACCGTATCCAAAGGCGTTCGAAACTCGACTCCCCTAAATGCAGTGTGCGGCATAGGTTAGATTTTGTGTGTGTAGAAAAACAATCTAGGCCAGGTATTGTGCTCGTCAAACAAAGTCTGTGCTTTGTGCTTAATATTATGTCCAATAGCCGACGGCTACATCCAACTTCCGAAACCATCATCTGCATTCCCGGGGCGAAAATCCCGGCATCCGTCACCATGTCCGGTGGAAAGCGATTCGGGGCTTCGTGGATATCAACTGAGATTGTTGGTGAGATCACGTGGAAATCGTTGGCCGTTTAACATCCAACGGTCGAACATCATCGTCGCTGCCGATAACAGCAGCCCAGCAAACAACAGCAGCGAAACCAACTGGTGAGTTTCGTTCCAATTTCTTTGTTGAGTGTGGTGTCCGGTGAGGGTGCCACGGAGGATCTTTTTTGCCGACCATAGGTCGAAGAGCATAATGCTTTGCTAAGATGTGGACAAGTCCAATGATTGAGAGGTTGGGTGTACGTAATATAAATCGTGCGCACGTATCGTCCGATATGGACGCCCACTAGGCCGTCCCTTACTTTCTGAAATTCGACCAATTTGTAAATTCAACCTTTTAAAATGTTCGTTGTGGTTAGAAAACAAACATATAAAAATTTGAAGTGCGTACGTTAACGTTTAGAGGTCGCTCATTGGCTCTAAATGAATGGTAGTGTAGAATACCCCCCATGCCACGGCAAGCACGCTTCCGTAGTGTATGCGTTATAGGTAAAAATACATTGTTTGTGGGTATTCCTCAAACAGATCATGGAACGTCAGATTGATCTCATTGAATTGTACTCAACTCAGTGAGAAAAATATTCCGTTTCTTTGTCGGATCATCATTGCCTTGCCTTGTTCGAATGGATTGGACAAGCTTCTCTCGTTCTTCGGAAGATAAGCCAGTGCCAAACACAGAGAGATCAATTAGTTCTTCACTTAGATACCAGAAATGGCCTGAAAATTTTCTTTGCGCAGCACCAGCAGCATCTGGATTGAAACTCCTTAAGATCCGCTATAAACTTGATATCACTGCGAGGAGCAGATGCAGCGAAGGGTGCGGAAATGGGAAAAGGGTGGTGAAATAATAACATTTTCTTATCATATGAGTTAAGATAAAATACTCACAATGATGTTGTGTTCCGCGAAGCTTGCAATTTGAGTTATGCGATTTCTCAAAAAAATGTGGTAATTCGGACGTCAGCGAAACTTCGTATTTTTACTTATCTATTGACTTCCAGTGGCTTTGAAATTGCTTGAATATAATAATGTCGAATCCGCTTGTCGGCTCCATGATGGTATGGAAGACACTTTCTAGGGCTAGCTCTAAAATATGGTGCCTACAGGGTAGGTTGGTGCTCAATCCACGAAGCTGCACCGTTCTTCCAGCCTTTACTTAGTAACCGTGTTTGAAAATCATTAAGTAGCAAAAAAGGAAAGTAACGACTTAAGCAACTGACCTAGTGTGGAAATAAAGTTAAAAAGATATCATAAATACCTGTATTGACACTGGTGGTGTCAAAGGACATAGCTTTAATTCGATCAGTTAAGTTCCAAGCTTTAATCAATTCCACAACAGCTTCTCCGATGACTTTTCCTGTCCCTCTTTCAACAAATGGAACGCCAAGAAGCTGTGTCGTGCTTTTTCCTGTCCCAAGTACTGCTTGGCGATCGACCAGATCCTTCCCTATCAAAGAACTCACCAGTTTACCGTCCTAGTGATCTGTAAGGATTTCATCGGGACTGAAATTCTCCATCAATTTCAAGGAGCGGTATTTCTCACGCAATCGATGCATAGTGGAACGGTTGATGTTAAGTTTGTATTGTATTATGTTTAGTATTCCCTAGATCAACCCCAAACGAATCTGCAGCTGCTGCCAGAATAGCTGTGGCAGAATCTGTACTGACTTTTGCTGCATCAAGAGCCTGGGATAATTCTGGGGTTACAATATTTTGAGTTCCTCGTCGTGAGCGATGCTCCACACGCTTGTCTGCATCGTCAGGCTCATCATCGGATAGGTCGAGTTCTACAAAGTCGGCTATAATGAAATAAATTTACTGCACTGTAATCAAGCAAAGAAACTGAATATTACCATTTGTCAACTTATTTTCACTTTTTCTTCGACGTTCTGCCAAGAGCTTTTGCCTCTCTTCTTTACGCTTCACTGTTGCCACCTTAGTGTGCATTTTGGTAGCAAGAACCCCATTGATGCCAGCAATGGAACCTATTACGTATCAGTGGGTGTTTCTGTGAGGAAAGTAATAAACCGGTTATGCTAACGCGAGAATTAACTTTATTAATTGGGACTTTAAATAGAAATATAGCTTTCAACATAAAGCCATTCGAAATCGAACTCGTGGTTTTTATATTCTTCTATTGACTGAAAACGTAGCATACACTGATTGAAAACGGTACATGGAAAATGAAGTTAACATACATAATATTTCCTCCCTTCTTTAAGAAAGAAATCAGGCATAACATTTGATAACGGCACAAAAGCTTTTGTAAACAAACTTTCTAAGGCCCTTTACACGCGAAACAAAGTACGCCCACGCAAACCAACAACATTATAGGATAGGAGCAACTATCACCTTTCCGAAAGTGGTATTGGTTTGCGTGGGCGTACTTTGTTTCGCGTGTAAAGGGCCTTAGAAAGTTTGTTTACAAATGCTTTTGTGCCGTTATCAAATGTTATGCCTGAAATACAAAAGCTACGGAGAATATCTTCGAGGGGGACGTCGTTGTCTGATCGATCGGCGCAATGCAGGTTGAGAGTTCTCTCGACGTCGATCCGGGCTGCTACTTGGCAACAGGAACGGTTCATCGGACGAATCAGTTGAATCAGAAGAACTTTTGGCCGTTGCACTGGATTCTTCGTTGTCTGTCGGCTCTTGTGACGTCAGAATGTTACCATAAAAATGAGCGCGGCCTGATGGCTTACCTGATGCCAAAATCGAATACCTTGTTTCGCTTGATGGCGTGCGTGTTAACTCGTTGTCGTTGTGAAAACATCGTATCTGATCAGTATAGAGATCTCCAAGCGCAATCTCACGAACACTAAAATCCAACATCCATACGTAAAATCGAAGAAGAAGAAGAAACAAAAAGGTATCGCGATATCACAACTACTTAAAAAGGTAGCGCGCGGTCTCACGCACACTTTTGTGCATCTGGAGAACTCTATGGCGTTTTAGATGCCTTCCGTTGAAAACAATCTCGTAGTGCAAATCTCCCAATCGAGCGAAAATAGTTCCTGGAATCCACTTCAAGAACAACATGTGAAAAGGGCATACAAGATTTTTGTAAACAAACCTTTTTATGCTCTTTTCTTGCTACCCATATCAGGCATAACATTTGATAACGGCACAAAAGCATTTGTAAACAAACTTTCTAAGGCCCTTTACACGTGAACAAAAGTACGCCCACGCAAACCAATACCACTTTCGGAAAGGTGATAGTTGCCCCTATCCGATGATGTTGTTGGTTTGCGTGGGCGTACTTTGGTTCGCGTGCAAAGAGCCTTAGAAAGTTTGTTTACAAATGCTTTTGTGCCGTTATCAAATGTTATGACACTCACCAAAACCATCAACATCACTCGGTAGGGAAAACTGTCTCCTTCCCGGTGATGTTGTTGGTTTGCGTAGGCAACCCTTGGTAGGCGAGAAAAGGGCCTACACAGGTTTGTTTGCAAAAAGCTTGTATGCCCTTTTCTCATGTGGCTCTTGACTTGTCCATCCGCGCATGTCCCGAGAGAAAGTTAACTCGTTCTCCTGGAGCGAATGCACGGAACGAAGACTGAAAAGCGCTCGTTGCTTCTCGGAAATTTTCGTGCTGGTATCCTGTGGTCTGACGAGTTCCAATCTTGTTCGGATGTTTCGCCCCAGAAACAATTTCGCTGGCGAATCTCCTGTTTCAGTGTGAGGAATTTTACGGTACTGCTGCAGGAACACGTTAGGTTGCGTTGTAAATTCTCGCTCGTTGTGCCCATCGCCTTCAGTGCACTTTTGACAGTCTGGACGTAGCGCTCGGCCTGACCATTTGTTGCCGGATGGTAGGGAGCTGAAAGTTTGTGGTACTTAACTCCACTCTTCTCTAGGAACGCCTTGAACTCCGCTGCAGTAAACTGCGGACCATTGTCCGACACAAGTGTTACAGCTGCTCCATACGCCGCAAAGAGTCCGTCAAGAATCTTGATAGTGGCAGTTGCTGTTGTGGAAGAGGTGATTTTAACTTCGAACCATTTGCTGAATGCGTTGACAATTATTAGAAGCATTGAACCTGCTACGGGGCCAGCGTAATCAACGTGGATACGTTCCCATGGACCATTCGGATATTCCCAATGGTGGCTGCTGAACTTCGGTGGTGCCGCTGCATAACGGGCGCATTCCGGATATGACTTCGCAGTTCTCTCGATGTCCGAATCGATTCCAGGCCAATAAACGTAGGATCGTGCCAGAGCTTTCATTTTGACGATGCCAACGTGTGCTACGTGTAGGTCGTTTAGGATTGCCTGACGAAGAACAGCTGGTACGACCACTCGGTGTTCGGAGAGCAAGCAATTGGCAGCTATTGTATATTTGACTTCCGGAGCTTTGAAGCCTGCCTGTGCAAGATTCCGACCCAAGTCCAATTCTCGAACGATTTCTCCAAGCTGAGGGTCCTTCCGTGTTTCACATGCTATATTTCCGGCTCGCACTGGTAGTTGCTGTATTTGGAGATGGGCAAACTGTTTTAATTCATCCTCGATATTTCCTCCCTCTGTACATACGGCGTTCCCGAGCAAAGTCGGTTAACAAAATGAAAGCAATGAAAACTCATTTTGATTTCAAATGTTGCGACATAAGTCTGATATCATATTGTGCTTTCATTATGCAGTCAAGACGTTTTAAATGAAAGCAACTTAACTTGAAGTTCTGCTGATTACGTCTTGTTTAAAATTCAATTAATCATTTTGTACAACCATTTTCCACAGAGATGGCGCTGTTCCGCTGGTAGGAAGTGATAAAAATCCCCATATAAAAATTGAGAGAAGTGGGAATAATTCACTTTCGGTGCATATTCAGGTCAAAAAAAGTGAACGACAACCTAAATAAATGAAGCAGGGACTTTGTCGTTCAGTTTTTTTTCCCGGAAATTATTGTTAAACGAGCTACAATTCAATAAAAATGATTTTTCCCCATACAATTTTACCTGCTTTACTACCAGTCTCCAGAGAGCCAAAATTCAAATTTGAGAGAGAAATTCTCTCTCACGGCCTCAATTTCTCAACATGCCATGTATTTTGTTGACACTAGATTTGTGATTTCCCTTTCACAGATTACAAAATAGAGTACCTGACACTACACAACATGTCTGGTACCTCTATATATGCATTTGCTTTAACATTTGAAGTCCCTCCTTTTTTACATATTTTGCGCAAAAGATACTTTGTGCCCCGCCCCATACATAAAATTCGGCGGGAAATTCTGTGAGGGGTGAGCTACTTTGTGTGCAGAATGTGTAAAAAAGGAGGAACTTCGAATAATAATCTAAATGCATATATAGAGGTACCAGACATGTTTTGTACTGCAGTGTCCTCTGTGAACAATTATAGGAAAATAGATTGTGTCTAGTTTCCGATAGATGTCACCGCAAACAACAGCTGTGACATCTGATGGAACATGAATGCAGAAGCAATACAAAATGATCAATTGAAATTCATCTGTCGTTGAACTAATGATTATCGTTTATCTGATTTGTTTAACACATTTTAGGTCATTCGTGACTTGCCCGCGGTGAGATTGGAGCCTAAGTCTTTCAGCTTGAGAAACATGAATGGTAACCATTTACTCTAGGCCCGTATTCAGTTAAACATTATGAATGCAAAATCAGTAATCAAATTGATTTCATTGAAAGCAGCATTAGTTTTCCGTTTGCTTCAACAGTGTAAAATTTTGCTCTCATTTTTGCTGTGTTAACCGTTAAGTCAACCAAAATGAGATCAACTGGAGTATTCAAAATAAGTTACATCATAACAGCAAATTTTGATTTCAATTTGATCTTCAGCTTTGCTCGGGTTGACATCGGATTGAGTTGTTCTACTCGGTATTCGGGAACAATAATCCGCGTTGGTGTTCATGTTGGTTGGCTTGTAGACGATGTTAAAGTTGAAATGTGCTAGTTTGCCATTCGACTGATGCAGAGCGTAGGAAGCGACTTCTCCGGATGCAGAATCTGCGTTAGCGGCTTGTGGTCCGTAATCAGGGTGAATTTGCGGGCATACAGGTAATGAAAGAACCTTTTTACCGCCCACACGATCGCAAGGGCCTCCTTGTCAATTTGAGGGTACCGTTGCTCCGTTTTCGACATCGTGCAGCTGTCATACGCTATTGGCCGCTCCGTTCCGTTGCTCAGCTGATGTGAAAGGACGGCACTAAGTCCTGTTTTGCTCGCATCCGTCGCCAAAATTACTGGTAATGCTGGATCGTACGCCATCAAAACTTGCGGTGAGACAAGGGCTTGCTTCAGGTCTTGGTATGCTCTGTCAGCTTCAGGTGTCCATCCAAATGTGTCACTAGCCAGCATATCACGCATACTTCGAGCCCTAGATGAGAGATTCGGGATGAAAGCACTATAGTAGGTCGCCTTACCCAAGAAAAGCTGCAACTGCTCTGGGGTTTCCGGACGTGGCGCATCCCGGATTGCTTCAATGTGCTTGTCTGACTTGTGCAGACCGTGGCGATCAATTCTATGGCCCAGGCATTCGAGAGACGACGTAGCGAAAATACATTTCGAACGGTTGAGTCGTAGTCCGTGTTGTTTCAACCTGTCCAAGGTAGCTGTGAGGGCTAGTAGAAGATCATCGAAGTTGTCTGCCGAAACGATGATGTCGTAAAAGCTGACGACGTTGTCCAAGCCTTGAAGAACGGTCTCCATGCGTCGTTGCCACATAGCCGGAATATTCGCAGCACCATAAACAGCTTTCGTGGGGCGAATGAGTCCATGCGTTGCAGTATTGAGTGTGAGCACATGACGGAAGTCACTGTCAATCGGTAGATGGGTGTAGGCGTCGGTCAAATCCAGATGACAAAACAAAGAGGCACCCTTCATTTTGTTGAAAATTGTTTGGTACCAGGATTGACAAAGGTGTAAAAGTGCTCTGCTCCTAGGAGCAGATCGATTGCTCCAGTCTTATTGAAGCTGGGATCGGCAAGGAATAGGTCTTGTGGAATACGCCAGTTTCTAGCTGGAAACGTCACAGCAGGCAAGTCTATCGTGATGCGAGGTAGAACGAGGAAGTCGAGGTCGATTTCAAAATCATTGTTCCTTGAGCGAATGCAAGAATGAACGCTATGTTTCACGTTGGACGACGCTTCACCAACACCGTGAAGGGGAACGTTCACATTTCAGCGCCTTAGCTTCAAAAGCTGACAGAATCTCTCGCTCATTATGTTAGACTGAGAGCCACTATCTAACAATGCACGTGCAGGGTGCGTATCACCGTTTGAATCGACGACCAAAAGTACGACGGTGGACAGCAAAATATTCGAATTGGAAAGTGGTGTGGGGTTGCTGAGTTGTTGACTGGGGATGGAGTTCGTGCATGTGTAGGTGGTAGAGGTGACTGGAGCGTGGTTTCGATTCGGTGATGGCCTAGACGGATGAAGAACTTGGTTGTTAGGGCGTTGCGCAGACGAGTGGCTAGGAGCTTCGTTGTAGTTATTGGTGGTGTGCAGCATGGTATGGTGTCTTCTCTGGCAGTGAGTGTCGGCAAGAGTATGTGGATTGGCAATTTCGGGCAAAGTGATCGTGGCGGAAACAATTTTGGCACAAACGGTTGGTATCGATTAGTCTGAGACGGTCAGGAATACTCATCCTCTCGAAGCGGGGACATTTGATGAGAAAATGACGTTGATTGCAAGCATAGCATTTCGGCAACTGGTCCTCCGAGACAGTGTGGGTGGCAACTTTATGCGGAAATGGCCTTCTATTGGAAAGGAACTGATTCACTGGTGTGTGAGAATTCTGCGACTGGTGGTTGACGGACATTGACTCAAGTACCCGGATCCTACGTTGGAGGAATTGTACGAGGCAAGTGTAATTAGGATCATCGACGGTAGTGGCGTGATCTTCCCATGCTTTGAGGGTTCCATCGCCAAGGCGAATGCACAGTAGGTGCTCAAGAATCGTACTCCATTGGTCAACAGGCTCTTCTAGGTGGCGGAGAATTTTGGTATGGTGTTCAAATTCATCCACTAGGCTATGCAAAGCCTCGGCAGATTCCCTTTTCATGCGAGGGCAATCCAAAATCGCTTGCAAGTGACGTTTTTTGAGCAAGTAGTCGTTTGCGTAGCGTGAAGTTAGCGTCTGCCAAGCGATGGAATAGTTGGCAGAGCTGATGGAGATCGATTCGATTAATTGCGCCGCTTCACCCTTAACGGCAGCACGGAGGTAATGGAACTTTTGTACGTCGGGGACATCAACGTTGGCGTGAATTAGGGCAACAAAAGTATCATGGAAAGCCAGCCATTGATTGTAGTCGCCATCGAACTCTGACAACGAAATGGTGGGAAGCTTGATGCCAGATAACCCAGCAGGGGCAGGGATTGCGCTTTGAGTCGGTATAGGATTGGCGGGTAAGGAGGATCGCAGAGCAGCCATTACTTTGAAGTATAGGGATTCGAATTTGTAACGGGTTTGGTTGTTCTGTTCCCTACCTTCATTGGTGGTCTCTTCATCTTCAATTTTCGACTGAACATCCTCCAGTTCCGTCCACACGTCGTTTAGGTTCTGGATGCGTAGTTGCACCTGAGCTTGGTCTCGATCGGCCTGGTACTTTTAAACGAACTGGTCGGCTCTCCACAGTGATGTTGTTAAGGCGGTGCGGCGGTTCGTAAGTTGTAACATCTGTTGTTCGTCCATGGCGGTGCGGTTGGAACGCGATGTAGCAAAATAGCGGTTCTAGGTGGAAGACACACAAAAAGGACCCGGTAGAACCGAACAAAAGGATTGGGATGGTTGGAATACTACTAACCTTTTCAAGGCTACGATAATGCCTTGTATTTTATTGATAGAGCACCTATGATTGCAGCAGGTAAGCGGGTGGCAGGATGCCGGAACGCATGATAACGACGGCGGTAACTTGTTGGATGATTTTCTTGACGGGCGGGGGTACCCCGTTTTACGGTACACTGGATGGTGGCACTTCGCTTCACAGTTGGAAATCCTCGATGAGCGGACGGAATAGCGTGTAAAGAAAATCGGAAAAATCTCAAGGCACCCGTGGACAATATCTGTGTACTATGGAATTACACGTACCATGTGCCTGAATCAAATAGGCCTTGTATTAATTAAATCTGGAACAGCAGGAACGTATTTCAATCTCGTATTCTTATTCGGCAAGGATGGCGTCGGTTGCACTTGGAACGATGGCGGAAATTCAATAGCACTAATTTTGTATGATGGCGGTTAGCGTCACTCGGAACG